TCCTGCTGGGTATTACAGACCCACTGGGATCTTGGACAGTCCCAGGCACCTGGAGGAGCTGCATCCCAAGGGCTCTCTGCATCCCCAGCTCCTCTGGGCTCTCAGCACAGCCCTGTGTTGCCATCCCAGCATTGCACACTCTTTTATAGGGGGATTTTTGCCTCCACAGGCAGACAACACTTCATTCAGTGAGCAATGAGAGCAGAGGCAGCCAGGATGGAGTTAATCTGTCTCCTGTCCTTGGACGTCCTCTGCAGCATCTCTGAGGAGGATCTGTGCTGCTACTGAGAAGCCTGGGAGCTTTCTGATGCTCCTTAGGGTAAACTTTTTCCCATCAGCCCAAACAAGCAGAAGAAATCCATGCTGCCTGGGCTGTGTCCTGGCACGAAGGGCTCTTCAGGGAGCTAGATCCCACCTGAGCTTGTCCTGATCAGGGTGGAATGGAGGAATTTCAAGCTATAGTCTCCCCCCAGGTTGCTGAGAAGGCAGCACAGGTTGCAGTGCAGCTCCGGGGGGTTTCTCACTGCCCTGCTCTCTGTCCTGACCCCTGCCTTGAGCAACAAGCAGCAGAAATGGCAAGGGGCACGGAAGAGTTGCCACTGGGGGATATTTAGAGGGATGGGTTAGAAAAAATGCCACATCCGTGTAAACCTGGGCTCACCGAGTCCTCCAGGACAGGTTCTTGCCTGCAGGGTGCAGCCGCAGTCGCTCTGTAGCGCACATACAAATGCTCGTTCCAGCTGCGCTACGCCGCTGCCACCGGGCTGTGAGCACATTCCTGAGCTCTCCTGTCCCCAGGTCCCACGCTACACGGCATCACCTATTTATAACTTCATGCACTGCAGGAATAATATTAGACTGATGGCCTCATGCAATCATTCTGAATGTTATTCTATTTATATGATTTGCTCTTCTTCGCAAGCTGTTGGTCTCCCAGATGCCAAAACACTCTGCGCAGCATAGACAAATACTCCAATTTTTGTCTTTTATTAAAATCTTTACCAATGGCACCCAGTCCCAGATATATTTACCATTTTATCCCAGGTCACCTGGAGTAATTGCATCTACTATTCCTTCCCCAGTCTGATCGATATCCTTGGTAAATAAGATAACCTCTCAGGTCTGTTATCCTTCTAGCCAAAGGTACTTTAGCAATGAAATTGTTTTGCTGAAGGAATAAATGCTTCTTGCTGAATCTGAGGATGCTGTGACCTTTCATTAGTGACCTGAGTGACTCATCCCTTTCTGTGTGTGCACTGCAACCTTCTACCACACCGTAAGAGATGCACCACAAGGTCCCGCTGCCTGGTGCCCAGTGTAATGGGAAGGTGAGACCCATGGGAACCTCTTGCTCATGCTGCTTCTCCTCCAGCATCACATGTGGTCTTCACACCTCAGTGTGTTGAACAAGGCCTGGCAATGATTTGGGTGAACTCAAGGAGTGTCTGAGGCTCCTGCAGCATTCACCACTCATTCCTACTCCCCACCGCTCGCACATGGGAGCCACTTGCTCCCTCGCTTTGCTGGGTGCTTCTTGGGAAATGCAAAGACCCTGGAAACGCAACACGTTTAGTCTCTTTTTAGAAATCTGTTCAAAGTGAAATAGAGAACTAAACAGACGAGTTTTTTGCATTTAGCTGCTGCTGATAGCATTATTTTCTTCTTGTGGATTTTCATGCCAGGAAAAACAGGTTTGCGTTTTCGGGAAAGAAAGTGGTTGTACATCTGTGCCTCTGTACACGTGCCTGTTAATTCTGCCTGAATGGCTTCCCAAGGCTGTCAGCTCAAAAGTTCTCTTTAACGTAACGAATCTTGACTGTGTTTGCAACAAATCCTCAATCAAGAGGGGTTTATTTAATGAAGCAAGAAATGCTACCACATTTCCAGGCTTGATCCCAGTCCCATTTATGTCAGCAGGAGAGCTTCCACCATGTTTGGTTTGTTGGTTGTGTCTCATCTGGGGAAGGGAGTTAAAAATTTGTTTTCAGGTCAGATTTTCAGACAAGTTCATTGCTTCGCTGCTCTGTGCTTTGCTGCGGGAAAAGGAGAGAGTACAGATGGGATTCCTCTTGCCTGATTTTACACATCTTCAAGTCCAGCAAGATAGCCAAGGAAAGAGGAACATTCAGATAATTTTAAACCAGGAGCCCACAAGAGGTGAAATTATTTTTTTGGTTCCTGCAGAGCCATCTCACCCCATGAGGATGTGCAGTTCATGAAAAGGAACCTAGCGTTGCTAGAAGGTGTCTGCAACAGAGTGGAAAAGACATTACACAAAGCCAGCACCTGAGCAGGTGGGTGCTGACCCGGGCACTGCCGCAGGTCTCTGCTCAGGTCTTCTCCCTGCGCTTGTGCCAGCCAGGAAACAAAGGTGATGCCTGGTTCAGGGTACAACCATGGCACAGCAGCTCTGGTGGCACTGCCAGCAGCAAATGCATTGCCCTGCCAATGGCTGGCAGAGCTGCTGGGAGAAGGGGAAGGGGGAATATGGAAGGTGCCCACCTCCCCTGTCCCCTCAGCCTCTCCCAAACATGCATTACGTCCTCCTCTCCCCAGGCCACAAGCAGGGGCCAGCACTGAGCAAGAGCTGCTTGTGGCAGTTGCTCCAGGAATAACCCCACCCCTCTGGTCCCTAGGATACAGAGCACTGGGAAGGTTTTGAGGAGTCAGTGGTGCCCAAACATTTTGGGCAGGTCCCCAGTGGTGACCGTCCACCTGCAGTGTCCCGGAAACAGCGGCATCTGCTCTTTGCAAGGGAAGGAGCCTCCCTCAGTGGCAAGGGCTGGAGGGAGGAGGGCTGTCATGCTGCTCCAGCACCAGCTGCAAGAGCTGGCCAGGCAGGCTCATGTGCCAGCGATTGGCCCTTAATTACTCACACAGTTAATAAAGGGAAGGAGCTCATCCCTTCAATTCACAGGGGAAAGTAGCATTGTCCAACAATTAAGGGGACTGCAAAGCAAGCAATACAGAAGAAATCCCCACTATGTCAGAGGCATCAGCTCAACATGCAGATTCTTTGTGGCTTTTGCTGATTTGGCAGATGCAGGACACAGAAAAATGAGCAGATTTATGGCTGTAACTGCCCCTGGGACTCAAAGATGCTTCTCAGGATACAGATCTTTAAATCATCATTAGCAATGACATGATGGGCCACTGGAGAAGACTGAGTTGATCACAGTGATGTAAGAGGTGAGAGCAGAGTTTGCCAGCACTTTCTGGGCAGCACTCCCTCCCTGGGGGTGCAGTGATATTTTATTTCAATCCATCACGCATGAAGTGTGTGCAGTGAGGGGGTGCTGCAGCTCCCATGGGCTGCAGGGAGCTGAGTCTAGTTCTGTGGGGAGCTGTAGCAACTTGGATGGGATCCATGTATGAACACAGAAAACTTTGACAGCTTTGGGAAGCGTGGATGTTTTCTTGGGTACGGAGAAGAGTTCGGAGCTCTGCAGAAGCCCAGATCTAGACAGCGTATGTGTGCAGGCAGCAGAGGCCACACCTGCTCCTAATGTCCCAATGATCTTCCCTACAGTAGAGCCCTGGGAAACTCATCACAGCTCCCTGCAACAGATGGGCCCCTGCTCCAGCAGGCAGGCCAGCTGCCTCCTGTGCTCCTGTAAAGCTTTAAAAGAAACCAGACAACTTGCGACTGAAAGCATTAGGTGTTTATTTGCACTTTTAAGTGTATTAACTCCACCTGAAAAGCAGCTGTGACTCCCTCTGCGCCGCAGCAGAGGTGGGTCCCTGTGAGGAGCAGCTGACTGTGATAAATTTTGGGCTTTGGTCCAAAAGGCTCAGAGTCCATGGGTCGGCATTTCCCCAGAATGGGCTGATTTTAACTAACAACCCATTTGCTTCAGCTGAGTTGCAAGACTTGCTATTGCAAATCACATTGCTTATTTCACAAGAACTAAAATGTTCAAGCTGTTTGTGGTGGGGAACACCAAAAGCAAAAGCAAAGATTCTGCTTGGGAGCCTCTCCCTGCCGAAGCAGAGATCCCTACAGCCCTCCTGGCAGCAACAGACGGACTGTCCTCACCACCAAATCTTGCCTTCACAAGCCTTCAAACTAGTGCTGCTTCTCTTTTTTTCTTTTTTTCTTTTTTTTTGGCATGTCTAATTTTTAACAGACGTGTCTAATCCCCTTGCAAGGCTGGATGCGAGAGTAAAATGCAACCACCCACCTGAAGATTTCAAAACTCTCCTGGGATTTGCCTGCTGAAAGCAGCGGTTTAGGCTACAACAGTCTTTACATCGGTCATTTGCCTTGCAACCCCTCCTGCCCCCCCCAGCCAACAGCCTCCAGAAACTTTAAAATGCCAATCTGTTGTTGTCTGCTATAGGCTCTTCCAAAAAAAGAGCGAGTAACGTTAAAATTCTTTTTTTTTTTCTTCTGTGAAGGAGGTGGGCATAGAGGATAACACAGATTCTGAAGCAGCTCAGTCACTCAGGAGCAACTAACTTGGGAACTGGCACAGCTTAGTCATATATCTAAAACTTGATATTTTTATCAATATTTCCATTTCCAAGCACTTCCTCCTCCCCTGCAGAAATTCACCCTGTCAGTTGTCCTGTGACCCGAGTAGTTAATTAGCGGTGCCCTCTCCTTAGGTGAAGGAGGCAATCCTGTCTCAGACTCATGTCCAGTGGGGAAGAGGGGATGCAGGGTGGGGGACAAGGCATCTTTCATCCCCATCCCTAACTCACTGAGTAGCTCAATGAGCAGCTAGGGAGCTGAGTTAACCACTGTCCCGGAGGCTGGACGAAGAAATACTTCAGGACTGGAGGAAACGCAGCCCTCTCCAGGTAAACTGGCTGTGTTGTAGCTTAGCTCTAAAAGCTGGTCCCAGTTAGGATGCTGGCAGTCCTGTGTGAGATCAGAGCCAGTGATGCTGCAGTCACTACCTCTCTGCAAAACGGGCATCATTTTTGGGGAGCTGCTCCCTGAAAGGGGCCAAGCACAAACTGAAGTGGTGAATCCTTTGCAGGGGCTACTGGGTACCTCAGAGCTCATCCGAATCCTCCTCCTCACAAAGAATGATGCTCGTCTTCTTGTCTGCCTGGCAAGAGGTTTTCCTCCTGAAGGTGGATGCCAGGGACTGGCTGGCTCTTTGGTGGATGGTCCTCATACGTGACATGCAGTTGTCGCTGTTCATCACGTAGAGCAGAGGGTTGAGAGCGCTGTTGAGGCTGGCCAGACCCCGAGTAACCTGGTAGGAAACGTAGATGTTCTTTAAAGCCTGTGTGCAGGATCCTTGCAGCTGCCAGGCTCGAGAGAGCAGGTTGAGGTTTCTGAATATGTGGTAGGGGAGGAAGCAGATGGAGAAGAGGACCATCACGAGAATCACCAGTCTGAGGCTTCTTCTCTTGAGGCCGAGGTCCACGGTGTCATTCCTGCAGAGCACCACCACCACGTGGCAGTAGCATCCGATGATGATGAGGAACGGGATGACGAACCCAGTCACGGTGATGGCTGCAGTGTACAGCAGGTAAACGCCCAGGCTCTCGTGCCCTGTCGTGTCGTGGCACTGCGTCCCCGTGGCATCCATCTTGCTGAAGGCAAGATCGGGAACCACCTGCGCGATGACCCATGCCCAGACCATTGCGCTGAGCCACGCCAAAGAGCTTGACTCCTGGCACCTTCCCCGTGCCTCCAGCGGGTGCACGATGCCCAGGTAGCGGTGGACACTGATGCAGGTGAGGAAGCCGATGCTGGCGTAGAGGTTGAGGTGGAAGAGGCCCCGGGGGAGCCGGCACCAGCCCTGCCCGAAGAGCCATGCTCTGTCCCGCAGGTAGTAGCTGACGAGGAAGGGCAGCGTGCTGACGTACAGCAGGTCAGCCAGGCCCAGGTTGCCCGCCCCCCCCCCGCCGGGTTCGGGCGCAGAGGTGCCACAGCCCCAGCCCGTTCCCCACCAGCCCCAAGGGGATTACCCCCAGGTAGACAGCAGGCAAGAAGCGCTGGGCAAAGGCAGTGTCCACGGGGCACAGGGCCCTGCTGCCGTTGCCGGGCCAAGGGGACAGAGCCTCCATGGCCATCAGGGTGCTCGGAGGTTCTGGTGCCTGTGCCGGGGGCGTGGAGGCACCAGCAGCGACGTGCCTGGAGCTGGCACCACCTCGTTCCCTGTGACAGCCGCCGGGCACCAGCCGGGGGCTTTGGGGCTCAGAGCTCTCCCGCAGAGCAAGGGGAGGAGGATGTGGCAAGGGCAGCCTCAGAGGAGAGATTTGGTGTCCGGCAGCTTCTGCCACTCCCTCAGCGTCTGCCGCCAGCCCACTTGAGATATTTTGAGCTGGGCGTCAGGGAAGTGCAGGGCCCCGGCTATTTTGGAAGCCGTGCGTGCCTGGAGGAAGGGAGGCGGGAGAGGGGCTGTGCCCTGGAGATCTCTGATGATGAGGGTCAAAGCCTTCAGCCTTCATCTGTTCTGTCCCTCTCAGGGTGAGGAGAAGCCCTCCATCCCTCCACACCAGGGGCTGGAAGCCTGCACCCCACAAGCCGCCCCTCTCTTCCACTCCTGACAGCATTTCTGCTGGCCCCACTGCTTGAACCATCCTGATGAACAACTGGAAACGCTGGGAGCATTTGCAGTGAGGAAATTCGAGACAAGCTGTGACCTTCTCCTGCCTTCCCTGTCACAGGGGATGTTGCGCTGAAGACGCCAAGGTACTGGGAGGTTGGGGCAAGAGCTAAAACCAGTGGTCCCAGAGAGGATCCCCAAAGAAAGCTGACCCCTATTTGCATTGCTGAGCAGCTGCTGTATAAATGAGGCCAGAAATAACTTTATCTCCAGGTGCAGGAGTAAACAGGGCAGCAATTAGACAGGAGAAAGTTTACCCTGGCAAGCAGTAGTGAAACAACCCTGGCAAAACAACTTCAGGTGAAGGGCTGGGCCCAGGAAGGGCCATGGCCACCTGCTTTCCTGGAATTTAATCTGGGGCAGGAAGTGGGAAAAGGCAGATATCTCGGTGGGAAAGGAGAGGGGTGAGTCCTGCTGAGCTGTCCTGACTGCCCTTCTAGCTTTGGGAGCAGCCAGACATTTCTGCTGGACTCTGCTTGGACACAGCAGGTAGGGGCCAGCACGAGGTGGTGGCAGCTGCTTGTTGTGAGTATCAGTGTGCTGACTCCAAAAAGCGCTTGCTGGAGAGGATAGAAGATGCAAAAGGCTGTATGTTATTTCCTGCCTGCGTGATAAAATCTAGCTGCTACAGGTGTGCCCTGAGAGGTGAAGCTCAAAAGCTGTTTCCTTGGGCTGAGGATATGGCTCTTCTGAGGTTTGGTGGGTCTGTGCTCCTGGAGTAGCAGCAGAAGAGGAGGGGGTCTCTGGGGGTTCACCCCTCAGGAAAACAGTCCTCCATCCTCTCAGCAGTGTAGGCAAACCTTTCTCTGTCTCTATAAACCAGGCTTGGGGCTGGATGCCTCCTGCCATGGGAAGAGAGGAGCAAGGCAGAGCACAGGGAACAGCAGTACAGCTCCTCTCTTGCATCTGCCTCCTGTGTTTAAGGTGTTCACTTAACCTGTGATTTCACATGCAACGGAGGTGCTGCCACCCAGCTCTGCCCAAGCACGCTGTACCAGGATGCTCCCTGGTGGTGCCCAGCTCCGGCACACGGCAGCATCCAGCTCGACCAGGGCATAGCAAGAGCACAGGGCTGGGAGAGCTCCTGCGGGCAGCAGGCAGGTAACCTCAGTGATGGGCTTTTAGGCAACCAGTTCAAGGCTCTTCACCCACTGAAAAAAAAAAAAAAAAGCACCTTAATCTACTTCTTTTTCATTGAGCACTGCACTCTGGTGCTCCAGGAGGTATCTAAAAATGTTTAGCTTAATGAGAGGCTCATCCAGCCCTTTCTCAGCCAACCCCATGCATTTAAAAATTATCAGTCAGGAGAATGGCTTGGAAAAAATTTCTGATACACATTGTTTACTCATGCATTACGGCACAGTTTCTCCTCCAGCATGTGCTTGCGCTGAAATGAGCTGTGATCTGTCACTCACCACTGATTCGGGAATACGGTTGTCAAATCACACGCCACTTACGTGCGCAGATGTGGCAGAATGCTTTGAAGGCAGGGAGAGTTGTCTGGTTTCTTTGTTGGATTTTTTCAATCTTTACAGGTGACCATAATCATCTGTGGATGGATTTATTTACTGCCCTGCAAAAGCAGGCAAAGCCCAGGACCTGCTGCGTCAGAGGCTGCGGTAAATGTGATCCTCAAATAACCACATGTTTCCAGGGTAGCAGGGCTTTAGAAAGAACAGTAAATATTGTGAGACTGGCAATCAAATTGCAAGAGTTGATTTCCCTCTATTCTCAGGGAAAAAATAACTCTGATTTATTTGGATTCATTAATTCATTATTTAGATGTTTTCTGCTTAGTGAATCAGGGAGAAATGACATGTTTCAGAAAAAAAGAAAATCCTAGCAGAAGTGTGTTGAGTCATTTCTGAGAATCGCAGATTGCTGCTTTAAAAGTGACCTTTTGATTTTTACCATCTCCCAGAAGTGGCTGCACAGGGTTTGGGAGGGCATGAGAGAACACAGAATGTGTCTTATCCATGTCAGTTGAGGAATGCTGTGGTTTTAAAGTCTATATAGGCTTCATGTCATCGCGTTTTTGGCACAGCCATCGCAGAGGTGAAAAAAGCCAACAAAAGCTGCAGACTGGCCCACCTCATTTTTTGATTTTCTGCTGCCAGAGGTTCATCACATCTCTTGAATCAAACTGAATTATTGATTTGTATTCAGGCAGAGCACTGGATGATCATGGTAAATAATTCTCTTTGTAAGCAACATCTTAATGCACGAGCAGTGAATTTTTATTTCCCCCCCCCCCCCCAACAGGTGACAGAAAACCGTCCTTGTCTTTAATTTCATTTTCAGCACTTACAGGGGCTGGTAGAGTGGGCAAGTGCTGGGGAAATCCTGATCCAGGGTGAGCGGAGGAGCTGTGGTGCTGGCGGGAGAAGGGGGTGAGTTCCAGGGAGAGAATTTGGGCTTTGGTTTTTGTGAGGCTGGGAAGAGGCATGGCCTGGCCTGTGCCTGCAGACGCAGCAATAACGCAGCCGGCGCCAGCTGTGCGCTCCTGCGCATCCTGGGCACCGCTATGGCCTGGGTTGGTCCTGTGGGCAGAGCCAATGGAGCTTACAGCTGGGTAAGAGCAAAGAGGCAGAATCTAATCCAGGTCATAATATGCTTTAATAATGTTTTCAGTGCTTTGTTTCACACTTTTTTTTTCTTTCCATTTTTTATTTTCTTATTCTAAGCAGAATGAATTGGGGTCCCTCTAAGCTGCCCCATCCTGGGCTCCCAAGGGCTCCCTGGGGCCAGGTTCACTCTGCACAGACAGACCCCACACCTAGATGAGCGCATCTTTATTTTCAGTTCCATGAATACACATCTAAACTGCCCAGATCCCACCTGGACATGTCACTTAAACCACTGCTCCTTTCCAGTTGCCCTTCTCACCCCGCCGTGGGACTCGCGTTCCCTCTGCACGCTTGTGCGAGGCCATTAGAGGGCATTTGGGTTTCAGTTTTCAGCCGCCCAGAAGGATTATCGCCGTGAGGAAAATAAAGGCAGAGCTGTTGAGCAGCTTTCCTGCTCCGACTCTTGCATAGCTGGAGCAGCTCCAGCCCGTCGGGAGATGGCTCCAACTCATCTTTGCGATTTGTTTTCTCTTTTCCCTGCTTTTCTTTTGGCCTTGGCTCACGCGGGGTATGTGCTTGGATGGCAGGCGGTATGTCTGGTGCTGCGAAGCGGTGTCTCCTGCGTCTGAGCTCCTTGCTTGCCGAGGCCCTGCCAAACCACCAGCACTGTGCAGAGGAGGAGGCCAGGCAAAGCGGGAAGGTTCGTGTTTATTCTGGAGAGATGCGGGAAAGGTGAATTCGAGCTGCCATCAGGAGGATGCCTCTGCCCGTGCTCAGGAAGGCAGCTGCTGGGTTTCAGGGTAGACGTCGTGGGATGGATGAACTCTCAAGCTGCTCAGCTTGGTGAGGTGGTGGCTTGTGGTGTGCAGCCCAATGTACCTGCTCCTTGCCTGGGGGACCAGGGCTTGAGGGTTCCCCCTGGGGACTTGGGTTTCCAGGTGCTCTCACAGTGGAGCAGAGCTGTGTGCGTGACATGGTAAAGGATCAGCATCACCTCTCCAAAAGCCCCACTGATCTGGGAAAGGACCAGTTTCTGGCTTCTTGTGTTGATTCACGCTCAAGGTGGGGTTTCCACATTTACCGTTTCATTCAGCTTAAGAAACTTGGGGATGCTGCCCAGTAACCCTGCCTCAGGTAGCAGAGTGCACAGAGGGGGCAGGTGCTGGGTGACACGGGGATCTTGTTCTCTATTTCCACCCTCTTTTGCAGCCAAAGTCCATCAGTTCTTCCTGGGTTTCCCAAGGGACACAACCTCCATCTCCACCAAAACAACAGTGCCATGGGCTTCTGCCAGACTCTTTTCCAGGATGAGGCATTGGCTCCGGGATGTGACTGGGGTGGGCACAGCTACAGAAGACCTCATTTTCCCCTCTGGAAAGGCAGAGTGGAGAAGAGATGGGGAGATGGAGCAGGGTGGTGGCCTGTCCCCCATGTCTGGGGAGCAGGGGCACGTGGTAGTGCAGGCGCCTGCCCCCAGAAAGCCTTGGCTGTGTGACAGCAAGGCAGTTTTGATCCCTGTCTGCAATGGGGCTGTTCCAGGGTAATTAAAGTGGTGGCAGAGCCACCTGCCAGGTGTTCCCAGGGAGCCAGGCAGGAGCTGAAAGTGCATCTCTGGCCACAGGGGCTGGTTCAGCTCACCTGTATGGCTCAGGGTTTTGTGGTATCCACAGTGCTCCTGGACGCAGACATCCAGAGATCCCAAAATTCAGGTCTGCACCAGCCATCAGCTGTTTTGCAACCAAAGCTTCAGGAGATGGTTTATCTGTCTGTGAGACACCGCTAGCTCATGGCTGAGGAGGGGTGATGGGGTAACGGGGGCTCCTGTGCCTTGGGTTGGCTGGCATTTCCCTTTCTCAGTCAAACCTGTTGCCCAGAGGCACCAACTTCGCCAAGGCCCTCACTTACCACTGAGGATGCTGCCGGCAGAGCTGGGCAGGGTCTGGCCATGCAGAGTCTCCTCTGAG